TCAGAAGCATGTGCTAAAGATAGGGAGTTTGGGCACTGACACCTGGAGTCACAGAGTCTCTCAGCACAGGTCAGTTATTAAAAAATAAAATTTAAAAAAAATCCCTCTCTTCCCAATGCCAAGTTTAAGAGGTTACATATCATACCATCCAACTACATGTTTCCATGGAGACATTAGAGAGGGGTTGCCAGGGGTTGGGGGAAAGTATGAACTGGTCAGGAGCATGGAGTGTCTCCATGACTATAAAAGCATTCTCCATGACACCATAATGATGGGCACATGTCATTACATATGTGTCAAAGCCCATAAGACATATGACACAAAGAGTCAATGTTAGGCTTTAGTCAATAACAGTGCATAACAATGGCTCATCAATCATAACTAGTGTACCACACCAGGCACAGGAGAGACTAGGAGGCAGAGTGAGGGAGTATATGGGAACTCTCTGCTTTCTTTTCCTAGCTATGTAAACACAAATGTGCCCTAAGGGGAAAAAAAAAGTCTAAAGGACAAATAAGAATCTTTTTCAATGAGAGACGGGCAGAGGTGTATCCTGGAAAAAAAAATCTGGTAATTCTGCAGGGAAAAGGATCCAGGAGAAATACACACGAGGATGAACAAGAACATATCAGAGGGCTAGGGCTATAGCTCAGCGGAATAGCACTCATCTGGCACTTGTGAGGTACGGGGTTCAATCCTTAGTACTGCATAAAAATAAAACTGCACCTATTCACATAAGAGAACAAGATTTAACCTGGAGCACACCTGAGTGACAATATACCATGAATTAATAGGTAAAAGTAAGTCTATTCCCTAAAATGACTATAGCCACAAGAGTAGAACAAGAGGAGTTATTTAACCTATTTTTCCCACAAAAAGAACAAACTTTTCTGAAACACTTATTTCAGACATGATTATAAATGGCTTATGTATAATGTTGTAGATACTAGGGCTACTTAACAAATCATTCCACAGTTTAGTGGTATAAAATAACCATTTATTAAGCTCACATGTTTAACAGGTCAGGAATGTGAACAGCAAACAGCAGGGACGGTGTGTCTCCACTCCAGAGACTGGGGCCTGGAACCATCTGGAAGGTCCTTCATTCACATGTCTGGCAGTTGATGCAGGTTGTTGACTAGCAAACCTCAGCTCTTCTCCAAGTGGGCCCCTCCCTGTGGTCTCTGTATGTGGAAAAGTTTGGGTTCCTCCCAGCATGATAAATGACTGGTTTCTTAGGGCTACAGTCAGAGATCCAGACAGAAAAAAGCTATGTCCTTTTACCACCCAGCCCTGAAAGGCACATAGCATTCCGTTCACATGCCCCACAGGTCAGAGCAATCACTAAGGTATATGGTAGGGGTGAGAGATGTAGACCACATCTGCCCCTCTCCTTGGGAGGAGTGCCCTTCACACTGTAAGAAGTGCATATAAGGTGAGATTTGGTGCAGCCAATTTGGGGAAATTAAATCTGTCCATGTAAAAATCAAAGTTTATTTATATGCTCTCTCAGGGGCAAAAATAGAATTATTCAGGGAAGACAGACAGGGAAGGTCAGTAATCACTCAAATCAACAAACTTCACCCACTCTACCCTGCTCCAGGAAAAGAGAAATACTCAGACCCAAATGACAGATATTCATGCATGGATGAAAACCAATTGAACCTAACATGCTCATCAAAGAAACTAGCACTCTTCTCCCACATCAAAGACTCACTGCAGTCTAGGGGCTTGGACTGAATTGGCAGCTTAACTCAAGAGGCATGTGGTTCTGGTGAAAAGCCCCGTAGGACACAGTCCACCACTGCTCCATCCACAGACAGCCTACGTCTAGTCACGCTCAACTTTGCCTGTTCATTCCAGTGCCTTTGTCAAATTCACCCAAAATAAGCAGCTCTTCATAGAATTCTGTTGCTCTTTGGTGCTGACTTGTGCTTTCAAAGGATAGAAACAGAACCAGTGATTTAAGATTCAGAAAAAAACAAAAACAACAACAAAAAAAAAACACTGTACACATTGATGCACTAATTTAAAACCAAACATGACGACCAGGGAAAAAAAAATCCATTTATTTTAACAGCCTTAAAACACTAAAAAGGAGAGGAGAGAAAAGAGTTTTGTTCATTTACTAGCTCCAACATTTTTCTCCAAAAAACAACAAACACTTGTTTGTTAGTTGTGTGCGTGCACACATACACAACCCTAAGTAAATATACCATAACCATGAAGTGTATTTCATGAATGCAATCATGGCTCAATTACCAGATGAATAGAAAGAAAAAAACTAGGTTATTAGATTATTTCCATAATCATGAAAAGACCTTCATCAAAACTTAATACCTATTCCCAAGTTGTTGTTTACATTAAAAATAAGAACTCATATAGATCTTTTAACATGATAAAACAACATAAATCTTAGTCCCAAAGCCATCATCTTACTCAACAGGGAAGCACTAGAGGCAACTCCACTCAGGTCAGAAACAAAGGCAAAAAACATGTCAGAAATATGGAGTTTGAGATATGAGTCAGAGCAATCAAACAAGAAAATAATTAGAGATGTAAGAGAATCAAAGTCCCATTATTTGGTGGTAATTCTTAACAATACACCTGGAAAACCCAAGAGAATTTATAATAAAAGAGAATACAACCCAATAAAAGATTGTGATAAAATAGTAAATTAATTAAGATAGCCATCATGGAAACTTGACAAAACACTCTAGGAATATGCAGACACAGGCACTGTCATAACATTACTGGTGGGAATGCAAAGTGGTAAACTACCTGAGGAAGGAAGTTTGATAATATTTAACAAAATTACATGTTTATTTACCTTGTGACCCAGTATTACCACTTCTAGGCATCTATCCCTAAGAAAGACTGCCAAAAAAAAAAAAAAGTATATTTGTTAAAGCACTCAAAACAGGAATTGATTGATAATTTGTAACATGACAAAAATAGACTAGATACTGTGGTAGATGCATGTGACTATTATTCATTTCATCACTCTTTATAATAGTAAAAGACTGGAAGACCACCCAAATGTCCCCCAGCATTCGGGGGCTGCTTACACTATGGTTCATTATGGAACGGAACATTCTGCAGCTCAAAATAAGGAATGAAGAGTTCCTGTACATATCATATGCCCTGATTCCCAAGATAGGATTTTAGTCGAAAAAAAAAATAAAGGATAGAGGTATATGTGGCATGCTACTATTAACCTTAGAAAGGAGAAAAGGTGGGGCTGAGGTTGTGGCTCAGTGGTAGAGTACTCGCCTAGCATGCATGAGGCAGTGGGTTCCATCCTCAGCCCCATGTAAATGTAAAATAAAGATATTGTGTCCACCTAAAACTAAAAACTAAATATTAAAAAAAAAAAGGAGGAAGGGGACCTGGAAAAATACATATATGTTATGTATGATTTTTACACATATGTACATTTTTAATGAGAAGGATAAACCAAAAAATCTTCTAAAACATGATTAACTGTGTAGAGAAAAGAAAATGGAATAAAAGAGACAAGGACAGACATAGTACTTTGAATATATCTTTTTTAAAGATTTGACTTTAGGGCTGGAGTTGTATGTAGCTCAGTGGTAGAGTGCTTGCCTATAAAGATTTGACCTTAGAACCATGTAAAATTTTACTTAATTATAAAACAAGGACCATAAGGAACAGAGAATTCTCCACATACCCTCATTTTTAAGGCTGTGAGCCAACGTGAATGAAAATGGGAATCCGCAGAAATCACATGACAATCTGATGGGTGAGCAGGCTTCCAAGAAAGAAGTCAGAGAAGGATCCTCAGCGTGGAGGAACTGAGACAGGCACAGGACTTACCTCGACCTTGCTCTCCGGTTCGTGATCAGCAGCGGAGAAATACACAACCTCCTGCACTTCATCCCTGGGCCGGGCTGAATTTTTCCCAAACACCACCAGACCATCCTTAGCACGCGGCGGGAAGGCCACAAAGCAGTAACTTGGAGGAGCTCGGGCCATCCTGAAAAGAGAGCACCTATGAGAACAGGAGCGGACCTGACGGAGAACCTTCCAAGGGCGAGTTCTGCAAACGCATTTCACCAGCGGGAACAGATTCTCCATGGAACTGTGCGCAGTGAGCTCATGAAGCCATCCCCGCTGGCCGTGAAGGTGGGGTGCCTGGAGTCGAACCACAGAGTCACAGAGACCAGATATTGTTTAGTACTCCGTGGGATTAAATGAGCTCAGATTCTCCACACACCGAAGTGGCAGCCAAAAGTGCAGTGGCGTGGGAGAAAGCAAAGGGGATTATTGTTCCTGGCAGAACACACACACACACACACACACACACACACACACAGCAATCTGTCAAACGAATAAATGAATTAACAAGAATACAGTCGTTCCTTGGTATTCAAGGGAATTGGTTCCAGGACCCCTGGAAGATAACAGATAACAAAATCCACAGCTGCTCAGTCCCTTATACAAAATAATGTCTGTTATTTGCAATATAACTTACCCACATCCTTCTGCACACTTTAAATCATTTCTAGATTATTTATAATACCTAATGAGATGTAGATGCTATGTAAATAGTTCATATGCTGTATTATTTAAGGAATAACAAGAAAAAAAAGTCTTTATGTGTTTATTACAGATGCACAACGCACCAATGCTGTATTTTGGATCCACAGTTGGTTGAATCCACAGATGTGGGAACCTGAAGATGCAGTGGGTTGACGGTACTCTGTAGAGGGGCACTCACTACCAGATCTAAAGATGCATGGCAACTGATTATCAGATTTGGAGGTGTGATCAGAAATCAGAAAATGGATCTAAAGATAAACCGAAAGAGACCACCTACCCCTTTTAAAATATAGTATTACTCTACCTCAGTGACATATTATTCAAGCACACTTGGCTTTCCCTCCTACCCCTCCAGTGGCTCCTGGGCTGGCTAGGTCTCTTCTAAATGACCATTGTGCATCCTCACTTCTTGACCCTTCCATCCTTGTTTAATGCCTTCCCCACCCCCCAAGGGAAAATTCTTCCATGCCCAGAGCTTCCCTTGTTAATTATGCACCCATGAGGTGCACACAGTGAATTTCAGCTCAGTTCTCAATTTGAGCTCCCAACCAGAGACCCAACTGTCTCCCTGGTATCCAAAGCTGATTTCAGCCTCTTCCCCCAAAGGGGATCCTTCCAACCTTCCCTCTCAGAGGCCAGCTCCATCATCCATCCCAGTAGAGTTTCTGGAATTCAGAAATCATCCCTGTCATCTACTTCTCCTTTATCCAACATGTCACCAAGTCCTATAGATTCAGTCTCCTAAATCTCTATGGAAACTAGCTACTTCCCTCCATTCTGTTGCCACCACCCTACACCAAGGCCACCATCATCTCATCATCTCCAGCCTGGACCAGGCAGTAGTCTTTTAAGGGGGCTGCTGCAAAACCTCTATTATTTCCCTTCCAAACATCCTCCACATTGCAGCCAAAGAGATCTTTGCAGAAGGAAGATTTGATCATGTATTTCTGCTTAAAACACTTCACCACTCTTAGAATAAACCTCAAAGTCATGCCACTCACTCTCACAACTCCAGAGCACAGGCCTTTTTCCAGTTCCCCCAATACCCTCAGGGCCTTTGCACATGCTCCACACTTTTTCCTGAGAATTCCTTTCCATGCTTCCTTACAACAAAATGATTTGCCTAGTTTCTTTTGCAGCTTCACATACCAGCTCAAATGTACTGTAATTTATGTCACTATACCATACTGTCTCATAGAATACTGTTCTTTCCCTTTATCTGAATAATTTGTGTAATTTCTTTCTTACCAAAAATTAATATTTACTTTCTCTTTCCTCTCTCCAAAAAAAAAAACCTAAGCAATATGAAAGCAGGAACTGTATCTTTTTTTGCACACCCAGCTCTACACAATGTTTTATGCAGAATAGATGTTCATGAATTAATAGATGTTTCCTAACATCTCACAAACCGAAGATGACTTTACAACTCTCTTTCCTCACCACCACACCCCTGCACCTGACCTGAATGCCCTTGGCTTACTCTTTGTGTCATTCCGGATCAGATTCAAAATGGCTTTTTTTCAGGAAGACTTCTATAAAAGACTGCCCTTTATTCAGCGTCCACAAGCACTAATGCATCCAGTTTGTTCTAGAATAATGCATGTTTGTTGCTTGCAAATATATTTCCTTATCAGTTTCTAAAAGCTCTCTGAGGATAGGGGCCATGACATCCAAATACAGAAGCCCCACATTACAGGCCCTCAACAACGTTGAACCAACCATATTGTATTTTTTAAATTGATTTTATTTTTTAAATACATGGCAGCGGAATGCATGACAATTCTTATTACACATATAGAGCACAATTTTTCATATCTCTGTTTGTATATAAAGTAGGTTGACACCCAATTTGTGTCTTCATACATTTACTTTGGATAATGATGTCCATCACATTCCACCATCCTTGCTAATAACCCTGCCTTCTACCTTTCCCTCCCTCCCCTCTTTCCTATCTAGAATTCATCTGGGAGGAATAGATAAATTATATTGTATTTGTATCATCAATTACCCAATTCAAAAACTTTTTTCTTTCTTTTTAAAAAATTTTTATATCAGCTATATTGTATTTATATCATCGATATCCAATCAATTCAAACACTTTTTTCTTTCTTTTTTCTTTTCTTTCTTCCTTTTTAAAATTTTTTAAATTTATGAGTCCCAAATACAAGATATCAGTAAATCAGTGTTTTCAGAAAAGCACTAAACTGGATCCAAAGCTCAGCTCCACCACTAGTAGCTGTGTAACCTTGAGCAAGTCAATTTACCTCTCTGAGCCTGCAAATGTTTTGCCCCAGCCCACAATTCTTATGACTATCAAATAAAATGATTCATTGGGTGCGGTAGCACACACTTGTAATACCAGCAGCTAGGGAGGCTGAGGCAGGAGGATCACAAGTTC